AGCGCAGAGAAGCCAGCTTTGCAACCCCCGCTCTCCCCCCCTCTCTCTCCCCTTGCAGGTCCAGCCTGAGGCACCGCACTGCCATGGCCAGGGTGGCGGCGCGGTGCCTCAGTCTCCCTGCCCAGGCTGGAGTTGCGAGGGGGGAGACAGAGAGAGAGAGCTGGTCGGCGGGGGTTTGCGAAGCTGGTTTCCCTGCAATCTTTGCAAACCCCCGCCCATCAGCTGTGCTTCGGGGCTCTCTCTCTCCACCCCTCGCAACACAGCTGATCGGCGGGGCCTTTGGGATGATCATGGGGAAGCACTTCCCCACAATCATCGCAATGCGGTTCCCCCCATTTAAAACATTGCAATGCGATCGCTTTTGCGATCGCAAAAACTCCATCGCTATGCGGATTCATCATTAAACGGGGCGCTCGTTAAGCGAGGCACCACTGTATTCAACTGTAGTCCTGCTTTGGCACTTTCTTCTTTCACTAAAAGTCATTTCAGGTCATTGCTGCTTTTTGCCAGTAAGATGGTGTCATCTACATATTATTGATGTTTCTTCACCAGTTTTCAATTCTTCTTCATCTGAATCTACTCTGGCTTTCCATATGATATATTCTGTGTCCAGATTAAACAGATAAGGGGATAAAATGCACCCCTGTCTTAACCCCATTGCTTATAGGAAATACTGTTTCTCCATATTCTGTCCTAACGGTAGCTTCTTGTCCACAGTACGAATCATGCATCAGGTCAATCAAGTGCTGAAGTCCACTCATTTCTTTCAGAACAATCCACAGTTTCTCAAGATCTACACAGCCAAAGACTTCGCTGTATTCTATAAAGCATAGATTGTTCTTCTTCTGACATTCATTGGTACTCTCTCATAGCTAGCCAATATTAGCAATATGAATTTGAGTGTCTCTTCCTTTCTGGAATCAAACTTGAACATCAGGTATTTCTTGCTCCATATATAAGGTAAAAGCCTTTATTGCAACACCTTCAGCATCACTTTGCATGTATGAGAAATTAAAGTAATAGTCCTAGAGTTACTACACTCTTTGGCTTCTCTTTTCTTAGGGATTGGAATGTATATCGGGCATACCTACTTGCTTACGTAGAAGTAAATCGCACTGAATTACCTCTAAGAAGTTGTGGATGGCTTTGCATCCTGAAGGCTCTGAAACCTGTTTTTTAAATGGAAGCTTCTAATCCATATGGTTGCATAGAAAAGTTTTTAAAATGTGCTGCTTTGTTCTGTTTAAGGCTATGTGTGGAGAAAGACACAATCAAGGACCTAATTCATATTGAATATCCCAATATTAGAGGTCCCGTTTGCACAGCCATATTTTATGTAATGAACAGACTTCCTTTTCAGTTATTTTGCGAGGTAAATGGTCTTATGAATGCCCTGAAATGACATATACCTGTACAATACTGTCAAGGTTTTCTGATGGGTTTTTTTGTTTAGCCCCTATCAATCTGTCAAAAGGCTTCAAATGTTCAGTGGTGATTAATGCTATAAACTTTGTTTTTACCGACAACAGTTCTTGGTTTGGGCTTCAATAGGTCTTTGAGACTTTCTATATTCTTTTGATTTTTTCTTTTTCTTCTTTTGGGTTATTTTGTGGGGGATATTTTAATAAAAAATATCATTAGAAACTGATTTCTGTTTCTAACAATATTTGTATTAAAACATCCTCTAACAAAATGACCCCAGACACCTTGAAATTATTGTTTTAGTGAAGTTCCTTATTGGTGATGAATTGCAGCATTTATTCTCCTTTGCTCTTCCATGTTTCTTGGAGTAGTTTACGTATAGGTCCTAGAGAGTCCTTCATTTGGGCTACAGGGATATACTGGGTTAGCTTCTGCAGTAGAACTGTACTGTATGCCTTCAGAGCATTTTCTGGGTTAATGTCTTACACGCTAGCCCCATACTGTGTCCCATGAGACTCTGTGACACAGTGCACCAGGAAACACTGGCAGTAGGATTCTTCCTCTCATAAGCGTGCATCTCTTTCTCCAAGTCTTTCACCATTTGGCTTTAAAGTGGGCGGATTTTATTCAGGTCTGGGTACCCACAAGAGCTAATTCAAACAACAGACAGGGAAGAAAACATCTGTAGGATGAAATGCATACCAGCTGTCTTCTTATCTGCCCTTCTACCTTGTTAATGGCTTGTAAATAACAGTATATATGGAGTATTTTAAGAGCTAATTCAAACAACAGACAGGGAAGAAAACATCTGTAGGATGAAATGCATACCAGCTGTCTTCTTATCTGCCCTTCTACCTTGTTAATGGCTTGTAAATAACAGTATATATGGAGTATTTTGTGAGAAATTAACTAAAATGTGTAAAAAAATGCTATTGCTTAGTTGTTAGGGTTTTGTGTTCTTTCGTTTTTAAATTAGAGACGTGTTCAAGGGAGGGAAAAGTTCCTTCTGCGCCAGTGAGTGGAATGGTAATAGAATGAAGTATTCCACTGCCATTTTAAAAGGGCAGACTGTGCCTAGGTTTGCTTTGTAAATTCGTTACATTTGCTTCATAACTACATCAGGTAGTACATTTTACCTGGAGCTATTATGCTTGCCTGTTCCTCTGCCTCCTGCTCCACAGATCATTCCTGTGTCTTGTTCTTCCTCATAGACAAGGTTCCCAAGCAGTCTGTCATTCAGACAATGGGCAGGCCCAAACCTGTTTAGTTTCAGTGTCCAATCAAAATCACCTCATTCTCTTTTGCATAGAAATGATAGAATTGTGTCCTTTGGATGTTTTTGGAATGCAGCTCCCATTATTTCTAATCAGTAGCTAGAGCTGGTGAGAACTGAAGCCCAGCAACTTCTGGAGAGCCACAGATTACTCAACCCTAACCTCAAAGCTTCTTCAAAGCTGTCAGAAAGCCTAAAAAGAAAGTATTCTTCCTGTGTGCATTTTTCCCCGCATGCATCTTCACTGGGAAACCCTGTTTGCCTCACAGCCTCCTAGTGCCTTAATACAGGACAAAATACATTTGTGTGTGACTGTGACAGGCTATCACCCAAAAGTCAAATGCTCTTTCCCAGACTGAAGTGTCTTCCATGAAGGTCCTCTGCATGGACCAGTTGATTTCTTTGTTTATAGAGCCTTGTGGCACAGTGGTTTAACTACAGTACTGCAGCCAAAATTGCTCATGGCTTGGGTTCAACCTCAGGTAGCCGGATCAGGATTCACTCACCCATCCTTCTGAGGATGGTAAATCGAGTATTCAACTTGCTGGGGGTGAGGGGGTATGTGTCGTTGTTGTTTAGTAGTTTAGTCGTGTCCTACTCTTTATGACCCTATGGACCAGAGCACGCCAGGCCCTCCTATCTTCCACTGCCTCCCGTAGTTGTGTCAAATTCATCTTGGTTGCTTCGCAGACACTGTCCAGCCATCTCATCCTCTGTCATCCCCTTCTCCTCTTGCCGTCACACTTTACTAATATCAAGGTCTTTTCCAAGGAGTCTTGTCTTCTCATGAGATGGCCAAAGTACTGGAGCTCAGGATCTGTCCTTCGAGTGAGCACTCAGGGTTGATTTCCTTTAGAATTGATAGGTTTGTTCTCCTTGCAGTCCAGGGGACTCTCAAGAGCCTCCTCCAGCACCACAATTCAAAGGCATCAATTCTTCAGCGGTCTGCTTTCTTTATGGTCCAGCTCTCACTTCCATACATCACGACAGGAAAAACCATAGCTTTGTCTATTCGGACTTTTGTT